TCTCCCCCCCTTTGCTCCACTGTCTGCCCCTCCAAGGTCCGAGCTTCTGCGGAGCCAACTGCAGGCAGCTATCACAAAGTGAGGTCACACAGTATTCAAAACAATCTTTTCTGGTCTAAGGCCTAAGACATAACAGACCCAATATGCCTCCCCTCCCGGGCCTACTAATGTCCAATTTTACTTCCACACTAGTCCCACTCCTGGTGTTGCACAGTTTGATTTCCCTAGTTTTGTGCTCTGTTTTGTTTAATAAATCCCTTTGTCTTGGAGCGGTAAGTGGCTGGTCACACCCCCCCCCCATGCTTTGCTGTCAGTTGACCTTGGACCCCCAGAGGTTTTTTTTTTCCTTACTTGGGAGCTTTTGGTTCCTCTCCTTTCTTGTCTTCAGTCTCATTGTGAATTTTTATACCAGTGCACCAATGTGCATTGGTGAATCTTACCATTCTTAGTGTGAAAGGATAGGGTTTTAAAAAGGTTGTGGTACAAACTGGCTCAAAAAGAGTAAAGAACATAGTATCAGCTGGAAGAGTAGAAGTGGCGAACAGGGTTTTGCATACAGGTCCAATTATAAGCCAAGCAATTCTATGACAAGGTAGGATTCGTTCTTCTTAAGGGTGTCAACAAAAAGCTCTTTCAGCCTATCAGTGTTTAACACCTTATACAGCTTCCTCATCCTCTCCTGGCTGGTACTGGCAGCACGTATGTTATCGTAGTTTTCCCCTCCGATGTGCTCATGGAGGTCGTCCAGTATGGAGTCAATCGCTGACACTCTCTGGACGATGGCTGTCCTGTTCTGGTCTACAAATGCCACAGCTGAATGATGAGATACCACTTGACAATGAGCTGGGGAAAAAAAAAAATAAAATCACTGCTAAAACAGTTAATAGGCCAATGATGGACTGAGACTAGTTGCAGTTCGGAGCGGTCACTGTGAATTTCAAAACGGGAACAAATTGTTTGCAAATGATACAATTATCATGTAATTGGCACTGACAGTATGCCTTTTGATAGATGAACTAAACATTGCTGAAATTAATCATTTGCTCTAAATAGACTCATAGGTGATTATTAGTATTAATTAAAGGCTTCTGTAGCCCTACCACTGAGAAAGGAACCCGGACACAGTTCCTATTATCTGTTTAGGTTAAAACTGTTAACTTAGGTAAAGCATTTTCTGTATGTTCAGTGAGGTTATGGGATGGTTACTGTAAATCCATCTTTTGGCCTCATGAAAATGTATTTGGATGCAGTGTGAATGTCATTATGACATCAGAAAAGGTATAACGGGCTGAGCAGAAGAACCTCAATACTACCAAAGCAGGAAGTGACACCAATGCCTGTATTAGAGATGCTGCCAATCAGCAACATCTGTGTCAGTCCAAACAATAACTCAGTTTCGGTTCTTTGTCCCAGTGTTCATGAAGGATACGGCAAGAAATCCCACCTACCTATGGGCTGAACTTCCCCTTCTGTAATAGATGATGATGGAAGAACAGGATCTAAGGGAAGAGACACCATCTTGGTTAAGGATTTCTTTGAGGGCTTTTTGGTTAGTTACCCTGAAATGGTGTCAGGTATTATTCCAGATGTTTGTGTGAATTCCTGTTAAATGAGGCCTTTCCTGTTTCTAAATGACATTAAGCAAACAGCAGAACGTTGCCTTTCACAGTGCAGTGAACAGGGAAGCATTTTCTCTAAGTTAGATCCACATGAAACATTAAGCAGTTAGAATCAGGGGGGCACACTGCCCACACTGGAATCTCTGCCCAGTGGTTAATCATGTTTGCTTGTCCTGATGGTCTCACACAGACCCATCTGTTTATTTCCACATAGAAATAGCACGTTATCACCTCTGAGGTTGACGATGCGCCGCCACACGACTTTACCGCTCTTCTCTTCCAAGACACTCAGCTCCACTTCCACCACGTCACGGTTCAGCTGTACCTCAAAAGTTGGGTGGATTGTTGGGTCAAAATCACATTCAAACTCTTCAATCTAGAGGTGAAGAGGGGAAATTGCTGGTGATGTTCTGAACCCTGTTTAAAAGTGTGAACTGTTCCTCACAAAGAGCCGAGGTGTGATTCACACCCCCAACCCTGGAGGTATGAGTCACCCTGGGCGCTTTAACTGCTACATTTAATTCACAGTGTATTTTGTACTTTTGTAAGTGAAATAACTGTTAAGACCAATCAAAAGTTTGAGCACACTTGCTGGAAACAAGGTTTTCATCGTTTTTTTTTTGTAAATGACAAAATGCTCTGCAACACCCAAAACATGGGGCACCAAAGCAGGCTTTAAAAAAATACTTCCTGGATTCCCCAGAACAGCCACCATTTGTCCTGATAACAGCCCCAAAACCATGAGGCATTTGGTTCAGCAGGAGATCACCTGACGTCTTCCAAGTCCTTCTGCAGCCGTTCCCAGAGACTCAGGGCACTTGCTGGTTGCTTTGACTCTTCTGCCTATTTCACCCCATACAGGATTAATGGGACAGAGGCCTACAGACTGGGAAGGCCCAGTCATTAGTGTAAGGTTCCCTTCACTTTCCTTGTTCCCCNCTATTTCACCCCATACAGGATTAATGGGACAGAGGCCTACAGACTGGGAAGGCCCAGTCATTAGTGTAAGGTTCCCTTCACTTTCCTTGTTCCCCAGATAGTTATTGTACAATTCTAAGGTGTACTTTATGTTATCATCTTGCTTGAGAATGACGGACTGCCCACTCAACCATATTCATTATAGAAGAGTGTTCCTCAGAAGTTAGTCTCAACTGTACATCAGCTGGCCAATAAAATCGACACTGACAGCCTCTTACTTGACATTGATAACTGCAAATGCAGAACTCATGCACTCACCCCTCTGTGTCTTACAAATACATGGTAGTTGGACCCAATTTGACACATTTGGCCATAAAACAGACCTGCACCCCTGTTAATAGACAAGGGTATACAGTTTAAAGCAGATAATTATGGTTTCAAGCTGGTGCACTCAAACTTTAGAATGGTACTGTATGTCAGTTGGACATTGGATATATAAATATGTGTTCTTTGGTTGTGGTTTGGGTCGTCACCTTTGGCTGGATCCTCTTTATAGCCTCGTGGTCACAGGAAATCCTGTACCGCTCATTATGAATGAACGTGCACTTAGAGCTGGTAGGAATGAGAATGTTTTGTCTCTGTAGCTCCTGCTGGTGCACCTGCATTGAGTAACATTGACAATGAGAATTGTAACCTGTCCACTGGCTTATCCATCTTCATCATCCACCATGTGGGTAATGACTGAGCAAAACGTTAGTTTTACATAAACCTAACAAAAAACCAAAAACCTTATAACAACGCATGATGCAATCACACCTCATTATGTAATAAAAAATGTAACAAGTTTTCATCCCATAATGTGGAGTTATTACATAACGTGTTGTTACACACCACAGATATTGATTTTTGAGCTTTCAAATATTATCGGAGTGTCTGTGCTGGTCAGAGGGTGTGACTGGGTGGGAGACTGTGTGTGTGGCTGAGCACCGGTGAAATAATCAGGCATGGAAATGCTCACCTGGTCAGGAGGCACATTCAGGGGCAACAAGAACACATTCAAGATTTTTGATTTTTGCCGGAGCAGCAGCAGCACTTGCCCACGGACTTCACTGGATTCTTTCGTCGTTATGACACCAAAATCAGAGAGGCCGGTGATGCTGATGACCACATGTGTGTCTGTCACCTCCTGTGGCTGCAGAATCTCCATGTTGTCTTTGGTCACATGTGCTACAGCCAGGTTTTCATCTGGAAGCAAAATTGATTGATTCTTATGGGAAGAAGAAGCCTTCAGTTTGATTCCTAAGTCTCCCCTCAATACATTATCAATATGTGATATTTGAGAAGCTGGAAGATTTATTTTCATTTTGCTTTGCTTTCGTTCCTCCATTACGGGACATGCAGTTAGCACATGCCACACCCCAGGTAATGTTTATGCGATGCTGTGGGTTTCGTGTATGGTTCCAGTATAAATGCTACAAAGCTTTGCCGCATTAAAGACCACAGAAGAATGTCATTCAGTCCCATTTTATTTGACAGAAGCCTGACATTTCTACAGCTGATACAGCGGGGAAAATAAGTATTGAACGCGTCAACATTTTTCTCAGTAAATATATTTCTAAAGGATCTATTGACATGAAATTTACACCAGATGTCGGAACAACCCAAGTAATCCACACATACAAAGAAATCAAAACAAATAAGTACATAGATTAAGTTATGTGAAATAAAGTGAAATGACACAGGGAATAAGTATTGAACACGCTTACTGAAATTTATTTAATACTTAGTAGAAAAGCCTTTGTTGGTAATGACAGTTTTAAGACGCCTCCTGTATAGAGAAACTAGTCGCATGCATTGCTCAGGTGTGATTTTGGCCTATTCTTCCACACAAACGGTCTTCAAATCTTGATGTTTATAGGGCCTCTCCTATGAACTCTGATCTTTAGTTCTTTCCATAGATTTTCAACTGGATTCAAGTCTTGTGACTGACTGGGCCATTCTAGCGGCTTTATTTTCTTTCTCTGAAACCGATTGAGAGCTTCCTTGGCTGCGTGTTTGGGATCATTGCCTTGCTGAAATGTCCACCCTTGTTTCACCTTCGGGACCCTGAATGTCTCGCTACATTTCTCCATTCATCCTTCCTTCAATTATATGAAGTCTACTAGTACCATATGCTGAAAAACAGCCCCACACCATGATGTTCCCACCCCCAAACTTCACTGTTGGGATGGTGTTTTTGGGGTGATGTGTAGTGACATTTCTCCTCCAAACATGGTGTGTGCTATAACATACAAAGAGTTTAATTTTGTCTCATCTGACTGGACTATATTCTCCCAGCATTTCATTGGTTTGTCCAGATGTTGTGCGGCAAACTTTAAACAAGCTTCAATATGCTTTTTCTTCAGCAGTGGAGTCTTGCACGGTGAGCGTGCGTAGAGGCCATGGCGGTTGAGTGCATTACTTATTGTTTTCTTTGAAACAACTGCACCTGCTAATTCCAGGTCTTTCTGAAGCTCTCCGCGAGTGGTCCTTGGCTCATCTGATTATTCTTTTGACTCCTCTGTCAGAAATCTTGCGAGGAGCACCTGGTTGTGGCCGGTTAATGGTGAATTGATGTTCTTTGCACTTCCAGATTATGGCCCCAACGGTGCTCACTGGAACGTTCAGAAGTTTAGAAATACGTCTGTGACCGATGCCATCGGTATGTTTTGCAGCAATCAGGTTGCGAAGGTCTTGAATGAGCTCTTTGCTTTTACGCATCATGAAATGCTTCTTATGTGACACCTTGCTAATGAGAAACCTTTTTATAAGCCATCAATTAGAACTAAACCAGCTGATATTAATTTGCACTGATAGGGGGCAGGATTTTTTTCTAAATACTGACAGATATCAGCTGGTTTCTTGGCTTTCCGTGCCTTTTTGCACCTCCTGTTCTTCATGTGTTCAATACTTATTCCCTGTGTCATTTCACTTTATTTCACATAACTTAATCTATGTACTTATTTGTTTTGATTTCTTTGTATGTGTGGATTACTTGGTTTGTTACCGTCATCTGGTGTAAATTTCACATCAATAGATCCTTTAGAAATATATTTACTGAGAAAAATGTTGATGCGTTCAATACTTATTTTCCCCGCTGTATCTTCAAAACTAGGCACCTCCCAGCAGAACAACCTATATGGGTAAGTGGCACTAAATCCCTAATAAAACACACAGTATCTTTTATAGGTTTTGGGGTGAACTGCCCCTTCAAATAAAGCAAGTCACAATCTTACTAACACAGAATTTGTAAAATTTCCTGGCTAAGTGTGGTAAGAAGCATCTGAACCTTCACATTAGCCTGTAAAATTTACCTGCAGATGACATCTCACAGTGAGGGAGGTGCAGCTCCTTCAGGGTCCCTTGGGGACACTCAATGTTAAAAAGGGGCCCCGCTGGACTCCAGCTGCCGGGGGTCTTGGGGGCTTTTTCCCAGGAGCAGAAGCTGTAGGTCACCTCCCCACTGGACTCCATCACAAACCCCAAGCCTGTGACGCAGCAGAAGAACCTTCCAGCATGATTCACCTGGAACCTGTATCACAGAACCAAGGTTGGGGGAGAGACTCTGCCAGTGAACCCAAGATGGTAACATACTGATTGTGTCCTCTACACTGGAGAGTGTGACTTGTATTTGATGTGGTTTATAGTCACTGGATGAGACAGCTGATGAATGCATGTCTTCATTATTCACTTGCAGGCTTCACACAGTGATGTGAAAGTTCAGTTACATAAGACACAGCAGAATTACCTGTATTCTCTCATGTTACTTGTTTCCACCACATCTGGTGTAAATAAGTCCTTGTTTCCCGATACCTGAAAAAATATTAAATATCACTCATGAGTCAAAACTAATTGAAAATGATGGTGCTGTCATCTTCATGATTGGGGACTTATGTTATCAATCAAGATCTGGTGTCACCTTAAATCCCATTCAGTGATTCAGAAATTATCACAGTATCCAGCTTCAGTGCAATAGCCTCTTATTATGCATGTCGAATTTAAATATTTCAGTTCACTCCATACGTTTGACCATGATTGTTCGATACACATCAGTAAAAATCAAACAACTCACCAGCTTCTGAATCCAATTCCAGGCGACAGTGACAGACGTAGAGGCTCTACAATGCTGCAGAGAGGAAAGCTTCTCAGTCTCCATGAATTCTGTTGTGTCTTGCATATTACTGCTGCGTATTACAATTCATCATTAATACACGCTTAACCACATGTATAAATATGTCCCACACATTTCTCAAAAGCCTTTCTCTGTAACCCAAGGGCAGGTTGAGCAGCCATTTGAAACACTATAATGCAGTCTCACTGCAGGAGAACTCGACGAGTAAGGATTCAGCCATCGGTGCTCCACTGGAAAAAGCTCTTAGAGGGGTTTCTAGTGTCTGTGAAGGGACAGACATCTGTTATAAGGAAATTTATAAGGGGGCAGCACAGTGGTTAGTGTTGCTGCCTCACAGCAAGAAGGTCCTGGGTTTGGTCCCATACTCTCCCTATGTGTAGGTTTCCACCAGGGGTTCTGGATTCATCCCATGGTCCAAAAGTGTGCAGGGCAGGTTGATTGGCGAAACTAAATTGACCGTGCATGCCTGTGTGTGTATGTGCCATGTGGTGTATTGGCACCTGCCCGGGGTTGGTTCCTGCCTGCGCCCCTTGTTCCCAGGATAGGTTCCAGGCCCCCCTGTGACCCCATTTGGGATTAAGCAGTTACAGTGATGGATGGATATGAAATGTACATATACAGGGGAGGGGGAAAGCCCCCCCTCCATTTTAGTCAAAATGGAAAAACTTATTTTGCATGTTTATTCAGCTCACTCAACACAGGCATTTAACTGTGTCAATCATACATTTCAGAGTGAAAGGGATAATAAAGGTTAAAAAGCAGAGATTTTACCTTTTTGCCAGGAGATCCAGAGACACTAAGGAGTTTAGATGAACCCAAAACCCTGGATAGAGGGGCTCAGTGAATGAGGAGGTGAATCTGCACAGGAGGGTCAGTCCATCAGAGACGATCCTGTAGAAGGACAGAGCACCAGCCCCCCAGTCCAGATACACTCCTACTCTGCGGGAGCCTGAAGGCTTTATGGGTATGAGAGTCTCTTTATTATTGTGCCAGACAGAGTAACTGTAAGGATTACAGCACAGACTCCATGACTTGTCATTGTATCCAAGCAGACAGTCATCCCCTCCTTTCCTCCTGATCCCTTTATAAGTCACTCCTATCCGGGCTCCATGTCCATCCCACTCAGCCTCCCAGTAACAGCGGCCAGTCAGACTCTCTCTGCACAGAACTTGGGGCCAGTAGTCAAATCTCTCTGGATGATCAG